AGCCTAGAGGGGCTCCGGAGGCGAAGGGCGGCGCGGCACTTGTGGCCGCCGCGGCCCGCGCCGAGCTCGGAGGCCAAGATGCCTCGCCGCACGGCGGCGGCGGTGGCGCGCGCAGCGTGCGCGTCCGTGGCGAAGGCCGTGGCTGGGCAGCCCGCGCCGCCGCCTGCTGCCGACCGTGAGATTGCTCACGGAGGTGATGCTGCCGCACCCGCTCGTGTGCACTCCGAGGCCAGGCTGGCGCGGCGCAGGCGCCGCCGACGGGCCCTCGCGGCCAGGGAGCGCGCGGCAGCGGCCAGGGCAAGTGGGGCTTTCGGGCGCGCCCGCGCCTGCGGCGGAGGCCGCCGAGGACGCCATCGGAGGCCGTGGAGAGGTGCTCGACGACGGGTGGGCTGATGGCGTGCGCCGTCCCGCCGCACAGGCGAGCGCGCACGGCGCCGAGGTGGCGCTGGCGCATTGGCCTGGGCCCCTAGGGCCGCTGAGGAGGAGGAGGAGGAGGAGGAGGAGGAGGAGGAGGAGGAGGAGGAGGAGGTGCGCCTGCTCGCGGTGCTGGCGGAGCGGAGCCTGCTGCTGCTCCTCCTGCCGTGCGCCCTCCGAAGCCGGCGCAGGGCGCGACGAGCGCGCGGCCCCCGTCGCGCAGCGTGTCGCGGACGGCAGGTGCGACCGCAGTGGCTGCTCCGCTGCGAGGGCTACGACGTCGCCACGCTCCGCCCTTTTCGTGGAGAATGCCGCGTCGAGGTCAGAGGCCTGGCCTGCCTGGGCCCCTCGGGCGTCTACTGGTTGGGCCACTGCAGTGCGCGCCCCTGGCGTCCCGTGGGTGATCCCAGGCAGGCCCTTCCCCTTCGGTCGTCGGCACGCGGGCGTCACTGCCTGCATGCGCGGTGGCTGTGCAGGCCGTCGGGGCTCCAGGTCATTCCAAGGTGCGCGCATGATCCGTCTGCACAACCCCTGGCTGTTATCCCCTGCTGTCTCCTCCTCCTCCTCCTCCTCCTCAGTCCTCCTCAGTCCTCCTCCTCCTCGGTTCGAGGAGGAGGAGGAGGAGGAGGAGGAGGAGGACTGAGGAGGAACGAGGATCGACGAGGATCGAAGATCGAGGGAGAAGCAGGAACGAGGGAGGAGGAGGATCGAGGGCGGAGGACGAGGAGGAGCGGACATGGGCCGCGTTAGCCGATGAAGCTACAGGCCCCATGGAGAGACTGAGAACGAGTACCGTTCCAAGGTGGAGAGCCAGACACACGAAGAACGTCAGGGACTCCCTCCGATTTGGACGCCCGAAATGGTACGGAAAAGATGGGGACAATGCCCAACAACAAATGTTGTCAAAAAACGACAGCTGCCGCTGTTGGGCAGCCGGGTTTTGTCTCAAATGGACAACGTCCGCGGCGGCGCGGACAGCGAGTCCTGTTCAAAACGAGCAGGAACTGCTGTTGGGCATCGTACCCATTCTTTCCGTACCCATTTCGATCATGCCGATCCGAAACTCAGGCGGTTCTTCCTCCCGTGGCAGCTGCACACCGGAGGCCCCGTGGCACACCGCCATGCCCGGCCGTGGGACCTTCCTGGGGCCCGGCAAGGTGCCATAAGCACTCCCCATACCCCCGAGGTCACGATCTCTTCCCAAAGTCAACCACCGGAAATCTGGACCCGTTCCCCAGGACTGGGTTTGCGTCCCGAGCCGTTTCTTGACGGTCCCGAGGCTCGGTAAGGGCCCCCAGAGGCCGACAATAGCTAAAAGCCGTCCGTCGTCGTCGTCGTCGTCGTCGTCGTCGTCGTCGTCGTCGTCGTCGTCGTCGTCGTCGTCGTCGTCGTTGTCGTCGCCTTCGCCGCTCCCCTCCTTGCCCTAAGGCCCGTTGTACTTGAGTCGAAAAATCCCTTTGATCCCTTCCCCGCCAGGGGGGGTCCCGGGGGGGTCCTGGGGGGGTCCGGCCAGGGTGGCCACCCAGATTCGACTCCCCCCCGGGGGGGTCGCCACCCAGATGCGACTCCCCCCGGGCGGCTTGGGGGCCCAGAAAAGCCCCGAGAACGCACAAGTGCCCCAAAATGCCCCCACGACGGTGCTCGAGGGCCCCGAATCGCCGAAGTATCGGTCCAAGTCGCTAAAGTAGCCTCCAGACGGCTCAAAAAGTTTCCAAAACGCCTCGAACGGCCTCCAAGAGGACTTCCAAGAGGGCCCCAAGGGGCAAAAATCATCGCATTCCTTTGGGTTTTTGAAAGATTTCGGCATTCTCGTCTTGTCAGCTTCCCGACGCTCCAAGACGCCCCGAAGACGGTCCCCAGATGGCCCAAGACGCCTCCAAGAGGCTTCCAAGACAGCCGAAGAGGCTCCCAAGACGGCTCCAAGAGGGAGCCCAGACGAGGGACCCGAACGGTCATTTCGACCCCTCGGCCTGGGAAGCTCCAAGGAGGCCCCCATAGGTCCCTAAGAAGACCCCCAAAAAGCCCCAAGAGGCCCCCAAGAGACCATCAAAAAGCCCCAAGAGTCCCCCACGAGGCTCCCAAGCGGCCCACAAGAGCCTCCCAAGAGCGCCCCAAAACTACCCCCAAGAGAAACCCAGTCGTCGTCGCCGTCGTCGTCGTCGTCGTCGTCGTCGTCGTCGCCGTCGCCGTCGCCGTCGTCGTCGTCGTCGTCGTGGTCGCCGTCGTCGTCGTCGTCGTCGTCGCCGTCGTCGTCGTCGTCGTCGTCGTCGTCGTCGTCGTCGTCGTCGTCGTCGTCGTCGTCCTCGTCGTCGTCGTCGTCCTCGTCGTCGTCGTCTGGTCGACGTCTCCAAGGCCTACGGCACCGACGAGGACAGCCTGGTGGCCCTCGGACGGAGGGCGAGGACCGCCAAGGCAGACGCGGCGAGAGGCGAGGACGCCTGCCCTGAGGAGGGCGGGCGGGATTCAGGGCCCCACGCTGAGGGGAGCGGGAGGCCGAGGCCGCAGCGCGGAGGGCGCGCTGGGCCCAAGGCGAGGGCGGCCGTGCCAGGCAGGGCTGCCGCGAGAGGAGGCCAGGGGGGGGGCTCGCCTGGCGGCACGCCGAGTGGCGGGCCAGCGTCGGTGGTGGCGGGTCCGCGTAGCCGGCACGGGGAGGAGGACGAGCGGCGAGGTGCCGCCGTGCGCCGACCCGCCAGGGCCTGAGAGGGCCCGCGCTGTGCGCGGGCCCACTGCGCGAGCGCGGCGCTGCCCCGAGGGGAATCGGTTTGCACCGTCGACAAGCGTCGAAAAGCGTCGTCGTCGTCATCGTCGTCGCCGTTCAGGGTCGGTGGCACTGGCCGTAAGGCCTTCGCAATAGCGAAGAGTCCGCCGTGATCTTCCAATGACTCGAGGGGGTCTGGGCCCCCGGCGAGGGCAGGGAGGTCTCTGCACCGTCCTGCGGCCTCGGAAGACCCACGCGGCGGAAATTCTTCAGAAGAGTGCCGTGAACCCCACCTTGGGCGGTCCACGGCGGCCTCGGCGGTCTTCGGCACTCCCGTGGCGGTCTTCTGCGCGAGCGCCGAACGGTTGCGGTCGAGCAGAGCTGCACAATCGGGCACCCAAAGGTGCGAATGGCATGGGGCGGGAGGACTCGGAAGGATGGAGGGGAACAGGAAAAACGAGGGAGGGAGAAAGAGACCGCAAGAGAAAGAGATAGAAAGAGAGAGAGAGAGAGAGAGAGAGAGAAAGAGCGCGCGCGCAACGAATAACACATCCTTCTCCAATCAGTATTTGCACTGAAGGGGTCCTGGCGGAAGTTGAAACACTTGGTGAAAAAATCCCGCCGATCTTTTAGGTAACCGGCTGGGTTCCAGGGTTCCAGGTTCTGGGTTCCTGGGTTCCTGGTCATTGGCTCCGGTCCGATGACGGTGGGTTCCAGGGTCCCGATTTCCCGGATTCCCGGTAGATCTCCTTATCGAGCTCTCGATCGATCCCATCCATCCACTGATTGGGGTCTTTCTGGTGTGATGCAAGAAGAGAGACTCAGAAGAGAGAGAGAGGGGGGGAGCAAAGGAGGAATGATGTGGAAAAGGAGAGAGAGAGAGAGAGAGACGGTTCGGGGATTTACTGACCTCGGTCAGTCCAAATCCGGGTCAGTCAGGCCTTGCAAGATCCTGCAAGATCCTGCAGGATCCTGCCCTTCAGGATCCTGCAAGATCTGGCGCTCTGACTAAGCCCCGTTTGCATGGACCCCCGTCTCTGTTTTTTTCATCCAGTTCTCGCTGGGTTGTTAGAGTTTGTCGTTGCAGGCGGTCGACGAGATTGCCGAACAGTCCAAGCTCGGATCTGGCAAGGAGACTGCGGCACAGACTCGGGAAGCTCCCACCTGCCTCGAGGGGTGCCTGGCGCCCGTCTCGGCAGCGCTTCGGTTCTGGGGGCAGCCAGCCTTGCCAGATGACGAGAACGAAAGACGCCAGCCCCGCTCCAGGCTGCCGCGAGCTTCGGGCGCCGCCGAATGGTGACCCTCAGGCGGGCCTCAAACACGAGCTCGGGGGCAGCAGAGCGCGACAGGCGGCGCGCGTTGAGAGCACAAAGAAAAGCACCCATGCAGGCTGCACGTTTCAAAATGGCAGACATGTCATCAGACGCGAAAAGGAGGCAGGAAGGAAACCAATGCATGCTCATCTCACGTCGGCACACACAATGCACGCCCCATCCATCTTTCCAACAATGCTTCGAGGCGATGGCAGTGAGAGCAATGGCGTAAGGAGTCGGTGTCGCTGCAACCCGACTCGCTGCAACCAAGCAAGCACCCACGAGGCGAGGTGTGGAAGCGGGCACTCGTGCAAATCGAGCCCGTCAGCAAACTCAAGGCTGCCGCTCCCAGATGCATCGACGACGCACGGCATACACGACGGATGTTCTCACACATGATCACGACCTGATTCATGCCGACCCCGGGACAAAAGTAATGTGCTCTGCGTAGAAGTGTTTCACGAATGGGTTCCGAGCTCTCAATAAACCTGATGTGAGTGTACAGTTTAAGTTGAAGCATGGACGAGCCTGACGAAAGACCCACAGACAGCCCAGAGCACCAATCGCGAGCGGAGCTAATATACCCCAAGAAGCTATGCCGATGCCACCCTCTATGCCAACGGTAGGGAACGTGTTCGAGGTCCTCGCGGGCCCTGTCGAGGTCTTCCAAGATACCGTGGAGGCCGCCGGACTTGATGTAATAGCGCATCGCGGCGGCTCGAGAGACAGCGTTCAGATCGATGAACTCGGTCGGGAAGCCTATCGCTTCCAACTTAGTGGCAATGTTATACGAGATGGCGTTCCGCGGCCCCGAGGTGAGCTTCATCCCGCTCTCGCGGAACAGGTGCGAGAGGCAGGCATCTGGCGGACAGAGCTGCGGTCGGCAGAGCAGTTTCGAGACACGCATGGCGCGGAATGCACGAGCGCTCCGCGCAATGCCTGGGCCGAGTTGTCGCGTCTGGCGCGCACGGGGGATAAATTCTGGAATCGCAGCCGGCCACGCTTCAGGGGCCGCGAGGTGCCCGATCGGAAACCCGAGATACACGGCCCAATGAACAACCTTCAACACAGAATATGGCGCACCATACGTCTCCAACACAGCAGTAAGATGGACGGCGCCCATTGCAAAACACAGGATGAGCTGGCACTTTGCAAAGTTGAGCTGCAGATTCGCAATGGGCGCCAACTCCATCAACGCGGAGAGGAGCACACCCAAATCGGAAAACACGTTCAGCACCCCAAAGCAAGAATCATCGGCGCTGGCGAGGTGGAGGCCAAGGGAGGCGGAGCACCTATGCCTGACCCAGTCCAGGAGAGGGGCGACGGCAAGCACGAATAGGAACATGGAGGCAGGGTACACCTGCTTAACACCTGAGCGGACGTCGATCGAGTGGAAGCGTTGACCCCCGACAATCATAATCGCAGTATTCGAAGCATACAGCACAGCAAAGAACTGGATAATGTGGGAGGAGATCCCCATCGCGCGCAAGACAAAGAATAGCCAACTCTGCGACAAGCTGGGAAAAGCCGAAGCAAAACCGATGAAAAGAATTGCCGAGTGCTCGTCATCATTCATGTACCTCATCATCCCCCAAGCCTCTGCCTTTACCACGATCTCAATCATGCCCTCCCTGCCGCACTCTTCTGCTCGGGCCCGACAAGGGGCGAGGCGTTGGCAACGACAGGCGAGATGCAGGCAGCGGCTAACAGCATGACATCTGCGTTGCCCAAGCTGAGCGGGCGCGCGTTCGGCGCAGCACGGGAGAGCCTGCCCAGGTGCATCGTTCGGGCCCGTGCCCTTCGGGAGAAAGACCATCAGACTACATGGCGCGCCATCGGGAAGGGCGGAGATGCGGTCGTCGAAGAGGGCGAGATAGCAGGCATAGGGGATGCGAGACGCGCGCGGTTGCTTCCAATAATCTTTGGGTAGCCCTTCAGGACCAGGAGCGCTGCGCGTGCGACCTAAGACCACCTCGTGCCATTCAGGGCAGGGCACAATCCATTCACGGTTAAGCGGGCCCTCGAGCTTCTTGATGCGGGGGCGAGGTCATTCCACTTAGTCGCGTCAACCTCAGGAGCGGAAAAGACCGCAGCCCAATGACCACCACCAAGAAAACGAGCCGCTTCAGCATTGAAGCCGGCAGGGGCACTGCGAACACGACCCCCCCCCCCCTTCAGAAGGCCCTCCTCTGAGCTGATCGCCCTGAGGGCTCCGAGAGGGCTGCGGCCGAACAATCGACCCCACTCGCGAGTTCGTTTCGCAAGTATCCTCGGAACTACCTACAGAACCAAAGACCGTGCGCCTCCGAAATTTGCGCCAGAGAAGTTTGCGGCGACGAAGACGGGCCACCTGCGAACGTTTCGTAGCGCCGTCGACGTTGGAACGCTGAATCTCCTGCTCCTCCTCATCTAAGATCTGCCGATACAAATGGAACATCTGTTGAGAAAGCCCGCGAAGGCGAGAGCAGTTGTAGAAAGCATCGAAGTGCACGCTGAGCCTCGGGTAGCACTGGATCGCAAGCAGGATGCGAGCGGTCTCGACCGTCTGCGCAGCGCGGAGAGCGCGCAGGGCCAGCGGTGCCGCTCTCGCTTCGTCTTGGCCCCCCGGATGCGAAGAGCGCGTCGCGCGGCCTTCCCAGTCTCGAAACAGAAAGTTGTAGTAGCCGCAAGCCTCGCCCGGACATCCCACTCCTCAGGTATCTCCGAAAGAAGGTCTTCAAGAGCCTGTCCAAATTCGGGCATCCTCGCAAACCAAGGCGGGACGCAAAGGCAACCAGGGTCGGGGCGATGCGATCCGAAGACCGCTTTCACGGGACTGTGATCGCTCGGCACCGAAGACGTCAAGAACCCAATCGTCGAGGTCGCAATAGCAAGGTCGCGGAGAAAGGCGGGGGGAAGCGACGAGTAGATACGGTCGATCCTGGATGTTTTATCGACGGCCACCCCTTTCCCCCCCCCGCCGGGCGCCCAAGCCCTGGTAAACCTCAGTGATGCGTGGAAGGTACCGATTAAAAGCACGAGCGCGAGAAGCGTCGCCAGCAGCGAACCCGCTCCCATCTCCAGCGACCCCCCCTCCTCCTCCAAGACAAAATTCCAGCCCCCCATATAAAGAGCGCATGAGCCGCAAATCCAGAGCCACCTTCGCAGTGGCGAGCAAAACCCTGCTGCGCAATCTTCATAACCCCTGAGAAGAGAGCGAGCGGGTAGGAGGTGTTGGGCAAGCGGAGATTGCACGCAATCAAGTTGCCAGAATTCCTCAAGAACGCACTCTCCAAGACACGCCCAGGGGCCAGAGTAGCATGTAGGATGGAAGAGAAGCGAGAGGCGAAACCAGCTGAGACCGCAGTGACAACCCCTCCCTCGCGCACGGAGTCCGCGAAAAAGGTGAGCCCGAACGCGCGTCCAGGCAGCTGGTGCCCAAGCTCACCGATGCCCCCTTCATGCCCGTTCGTTTCCTGTGCTGTAACTATATCGTGTGTTTGACAAAGTTTGAGATATGTAGCGCATCGTGATGATGCCCTCGAAGAACCCGTCTTGACAGAGGCGAACAAGGCCTCGGCGTTCCAGGTGCAGACAGAGAAAGGGCGAGAGGGGAGGCACAGAGAACAGGAAGATGGGAGAGGCACCTGATCTGTACGACAGTCCGCTTCAGCGTGCAAAGGGACGGCGCAGAAGCACGGCCCACGCCTGCTCGACTGAGGCGACATGGTCTTGGATGCCGAATTCAACAAAGACGTCTAGTTCACAGGCTACTGAAACTACACCGTCGTCGCCCACCGACACTTTCACACCGGCGACGGGGTCTTGGGCACTCCGAAGGACATATGCGATGCCACTGAGACCTGTGCTCCCAGCCTCGAATCCTTTCGGGGAGAGCAACTCATTCAACCGGGCACGGACGCGACCGAGCGAAAGAAACAACTGGCGAGCACTGAAATCGAGATCGCACGCAATCGCAAAGAAAGGAAGGCAGCAGGGTGAAGAGGGTCGGGGCGAGCCCAAGAGTTCCCAGTCCTCGAAAAATATCCCAGAACGTGCTCGCAGCGAGAGGGCTCTCAAACAGCAGGCTCACTTTTTTGGACAGGTCGAACGCGCGCGCGGACGACGATCTTCGGCTGGCCGGCGGAGCCGGCGAAAGCAGCGACGCAGGCGGCGCCCGCGGTTTCCAGGTCTTTCGCGAGTAGCGGCCTCAGGAACCCAAGTGGAAGCAGCTTGCGCGCGTCGCTCTGTGCCTTCTCAACCTGGCTCGCAGCGCGGAGTGACCCGCCACTCACTGAAGAGCCCGAAGTGGAATTAGAGGATGGGGGCGCAGGTGTAGAGAGAATGCCTCCGATGTGGCCTTCGGGGATCCTTTGACGGTCGGCGAGGTCCTGCAGCTGGCGCTCGATCTCATCGCACCTGGCGGCAAGCGCGGGCGGTGCAGTCTCGCTGTCCATGCCGTTGTCGCGGGACTGCGCCGCGCTGCGCAGAGCCTCGATCTTGCGGTCCTGGTCGGCCACCACGGTCTTCAGGTCCTCCGTCATCTGTGCGTGCTTCTGGTACACGTCGCGATGAAGCATGGTTAACTTGTCGGCGGGTTCGCCGCAACTCGTAATGCTGGTCTGCACAGCCGTGCGAACGCCCTCCATTTCTTGCGTGCTCTAGGCCATCATGTGGCTCATGCTGCGGATGCTGTTCGCAATGACGTCGAGCTTCGAGGGCTCACTGTCTCGGGGTGCACGTGGTCTGCGCGAGTCCGCAGATCGGCTCGCACTCCTTCTGGCTGGCGATGAGTCTGACGAGGCGGAACGTCCTTGCTGCTCACGTCGCTCAGAGCGCCGCTTCCCCCCCATGGCGGCGCTATGAGTGAAACGGGAGATGCAGGGAGAGTTCGGTAGCGAATGGCTCCCACAGGAGCTGACCAGAGGGGCAAGGGAATCGGGCCTGTGGAAAGCTGCCTCCAAACCCGCCTAAACGGCCCTCAGCCACGTCGGCAGATGTCCACGGACTTGAGTCAAAATGGCTACGGAGCATGGACCCCCGTCTCTTGAGCCCCGAACGGTACCACCTGGAGAATCAATTGCTGGGAGGGGGGCGCGAGGCGGTGGACGCGAGTACTGAGGAGGAGGGTGAGAAGGAAAGAGCGAGAGAGAGAGAGAGAGAGAGAAACAAACAAATGAACAATATGGCGGTGGTGGCACGGTGGTGGCATGGGCCGAAGTACAATAGATGGTCGCGTGTGACGGACGTACGCCGAACGAACTCTCACATCGTGCTGTCATGCACATGCGCGATCAGCCCTATGCAGCGTCTCGAAATTCAGTCCCTCATTGTGGTCGAAACAAGTCGACGCGCAGGATGAATCGAACAATCCCCCACCAGCCCTCTGGGCGTACGGCCGGACATAGGACAAAAGAGCATCCTTCAAGAGCATGACATCCTTCGCTAGCCAAGTGAAGAACATTGGAGGGTACCGTCCACTGGGATGCACAAGAACACCCAACACACACGAATAGCATTAGGGTACCCTCCCCGAACCGACCTCGATTTTATACCTCGGTCCGACCGTAAGTGATTTAGATCGCTTCCCCGTTCAACCCCAGGCTTCCCCTTCGGGAGGAGCTTACCCCCGCCCTCTGCCCCCGCACGCCAGAAGGCCTCCCTCCCCCTCGCCCCCTCCCCCCGCCCGCCCAGCAGGGCCCCTCGGGACCGCTTGAGAGCCGCTCGGGGGCCTCTTGGGCCAAGGTTGAGGCCTCCGGAAGGCCTCTTGCGGGGCCCTTGGGTGCCTCTCGGGGCCTCCATGGGCCTGCTGGCAATCGGAGCTGTCTGGCGCCAAGAACGCTGGATACTGTCGGCATTTGTAAGGTATGGACGGTCTTGGAGCCCTCCTGGGACCCTCCTTGGTGGTTTCCCGTCTCCTCATGGAAAGCAGCGTTGCTTATTGATGGGTTGTGCATGTTTGTCCCTCCTGATCCTCCCTCTCGCTGCCCGTCCTTCGTGAAGAAATTGAGAACGTTGAAAAAGATAAAGGCAACGATCAGCCCGCCGAGGACGTACGGCAGCCAATCGGTCTCCTGCACGCGCACGCGCGGGTGTCGCTCCAGCCCCATCCTACTGGAGGCCCGCTTGGAGGAGGCTTGAGGGGGAAAGTACTTCCTCCTCCTCCTCCTCCTCCTCCTCCTCCTCCTCCTCCTCCTCCTCCTCATCCTACATCATCATCATCATCATCATCATCATCATCATCATCATCATCATCATCATCATCATCATCATCATCATCATCATCATCATCATCATCATCATCATCACCATCATCATCAGCATCATGATCCTCTTCCTGCTCATCATTATCCTCCTCCTCCTCCGCCTCCTCCTGTTCCTCCTCTTCCTCC